AAGGCAAAGGTGATTTGTGGGGACATATTGATGGAACTCTTCCGCCTCCTGATCAGGAAAATGATAAAGAAAAGTATCTTGCTTGGAAAACTAAAGATTCTCGACTTATGGCCTGGATCATTGGATCTGTTGATGAGCAGATTATCCTTAATCTCGCCTTACAAGTCAGCCGTGCTATGTGGAAATTCTTAAAAAAGGTCTATACTCAAAGTAATAATGCGCAACGACTTCAATTGGAGTTTGAATTAGCAAATTTCTCTCAGGAGTCACGTTCCATTGAAGAATATTATTCAGGATTCTCTAATCTTTGGGCTGAGTACACAGATATTATCTATACTTCGGTTTCACCGGATAGTTTAGAGGCTGTCCAAGCAGTGGATGAAATCACCAAAAGGGATCAATTTCTTATGAAATTGTGAACTGAACTTGAATCCATCCGATCCAGCCTTATGAATCGTGAGTCTATTCCATCACTAGATGGTTGTTTGGGTGAATTACTGAGGGAGGAGCAACGTCTTATTACTTGTACTTCTTTGGAACAGCAGCAGAATCAAGTAGCATCGGTTCCTGTTGCTTATGTGGCTCAAGGAAAATTCAGGCCTCGAGATATGTCTAGTGAGCAATATTATAGTTGTAAGGGGTTTGGTCACATGGTTCTTCAATGTCCTAAAAATTTTTACAATTATCGTAAGAAGTCTGGCCATGTAATTAAGAAGTGCCCCACTCGTCCTCCCCTCAAGATTGGAGCAAATTATGTTGCTGATGCCACTTTAGCCGCTAGTTTTGCTCCACCACCTATTCCCGTTCAAGTTCTAGCCTCTCCCAACTCTTCCCAAACTTCCATAACTCCTGAGATGATTCAACAAATGATTATCTCTGCTTTGTCTGCTTTGGGTGTCTCAGGTAATCCAATCTCTACTTTCCCTTCTTGGTTATTAGACTCCGGTGCATCTAACCATATGACTTACGATCCTCGATTGCTTAGTAACCTTAGACCATATAATGGACCTTTCAATATACACACTGTCGATGGTAACACTATTCCTGTCTCAGCTGTGGGAGACATATCACTAGATTTGTCTAATGTTTTAGTCTCTCATAATTTATCAACTAATCTTCTATCTGTTGGACAACTTGTTGATAATAATTGTACTGTCTCTTTTTCTTCTTCTGGTTGTCATGTGCAAGATCAGGTGTCTAGAAAGAGGAGGGACGTCTATTTTCGACATCACTGAAGCCTGTTCCATTTTCTTCTTTTGTTTGTAATTCTGCTACTTTAGATGTTTTTGATTGGTAAGAAATTGGGTCATCCCGACTTGTATGTGCTAAAACACTTGTTAAACTCGTGTTTGCTTGGTAATAAAACTACTACTTCGGTTATTTCTCTTGATTGTGCTTCATGTAGGCTTGCTAAAAGTAAAGTTTTACCATTCCCGTCTCATGGTTCTCGTGCTTTGCATATTTTCGATATTATTCATAGTGATGTATGGGGTCTTACACATGTGGTATCTCATACTCATTATAAATATTTTGTTACTTTTATTGATGATTATAGTCTATTCACTTGGATTTATTTTCTTTGTGCAAAGAGTGAGGTCTTCTCTGCCTTTCAAGCCTTTCTTGCTGTAAATGACAATCAATTCTCGTCTTCCATCAAAATCTTAAGATCTGATTCGGGAGGTGAATATATGTCTAGTGCTTTTCAATCATTCTTACAAACCAAAGGTATTCTTTTTCAGTGATCTTGCCCTTCTACACCTCAACAAAACGGGGTGGCAGAATGCAAGAACCGTCACCTTCTTAATGTGGTTCGAGCCCTTTTAATTGAGTCTTCAGTTCCCTCTCGTTTTTGGTGTAAAGCATTGTCTACTGATGTGCATCTCATTAACCGATTACCTTCTCCAACTCTTAATAATGCTTCTCCATTTTATAAACTCTTTGGTCGTCATCCTACATACTCTCATCTCCTCCCTTTGGGTGTGTATGTTTTGTTCATTTGCCGTCACACGATAGGACAAAACTCACCCCTCAATCTGTAAAGTGTGCCTTTCTGGGATATGGTGGAACTCAAAAAGGGTACGTCTGTTATGATCCTACATCACAAAAGATTCGAATTTCTCGTAATGTAATTTTTTTTTTGAAAAACAATCATTCTTTAGTTCAGAAATCGTGGTTTCCCCTCCCGTGTTCTCTGTTTTACCTGATTTTCCCTCGGAACCATCTAGGTTCAAGCCTGGCCTTGTTTACACTCGGAGGCATGCTGCATCTATTACTAGCCTAGACCTTCTATCTCCGACGATGGTCCTTCCAAGTCTCACTGATCCTCCGCCTATGACTCCAGATCCTGCACCTTATGATCTCCCGCCTCCTGTTCCTCTTCGTCGCACTTCTCGTGTTTCTCGACCACCAGACAGGTATGGTTTTTCCTCCCATAGTTCTATGACTGCTACACTTAATTCGATTTCTATTCCTTCCTCCTATAGACAGGCTATGGAACATGAATGTTGGGAACAGGCTATGAAAGCAGAACTCGAGGCACTTGAGGCCAATCAGACCTAGGATATTGTGCCATGTCCACAAACAGTGAAACCCATTGGAAGTAAATGGGTGTATTATGTCAAACTTCGTTCTGATGGTTCTCTTGAGCGTTATAAGGCTCATTTGGTTGCTTTGGATAATCGTCAAGAGTATGGAATAGATTATGATAAGATATTTGCTTCGGTGGCCAAAATGACCACTGTTCGTCTCTTGTTATCGCTTGCTGCTTCTCAATCATGGTCTTTACATCAAATGGATGTGAAGAACGCATTTCTATATGGAGACCTCAAGGAGGACATTTATATGAAACTTCCATCTGGTATGCCTCTTCCCTCAGTTGATTCTATCTGTAAGCTAAAACGTTCTTTGTATGGTCTTAAGCAGGCTCCTCGTGCTTGGTTTGACAAGTTTCGTCGCACTCTTTTGGATTTCTCTTTTACTCAGAGCCAGTACGATGCATCTTTGTTTTTCATAAGAGTCCCGCTCGCATTATTTTTTTGTTGGTATATATGGATGATATTATTATCACTGGATCTGATCACAGTATTATTCAGAAACTTCAGCAACATCTTCACTCAGTTTTTCATATGAAAGACCTTGGTCAGCTTACTTACTTTCTTGGTTTAGAGATACATACTACATCACATGGTCTCTTCTTAAATCAACATAAATATATTCAAGACTTGATTGGATTAGCTTATCTCTTTGAAGCCTCCTCAATTGATACGCCGCTAGAGCTTAATGTTAAATATCGAAAGGCTGAAGGAGACATTCTTCCAGATCCTACTCTTTATCGAAGGTTGGTTGGTAGTCTCATCTATCTCACCATCACACGTTCGGATATTTCATTTGCAATTCATACTGTAAGTAAGTTTATGGACGCCCCTCGTCATCTTCATATGGTAGCTGTCCGTTGCATTATTCGCTATCTTATTGGAATTCCTCATCGTGGTCTCTTTTTCCCTCGAGGGTCGTCTCTTGAGCTCACAGCTTACAGTGATGCTGATTGGGCTGGTTGTCCCGATTCTCGTCGTTCTACTACTAGGTGGTGTATTTTTTTTTGGTGACACTCTTGTTTCTTGGAAATGTAAGAAACAAGACTGTGTTTTTAAGTCCTCCACTGAGGCTGAATACCGAGCTATGTCGGCTGCATGCTCTGAGGTTGTGTGGTTATGGGGACTTCTTGCCGAACTTGGTTTCTCTCAGTCACAACCTACGCCTCTTCATGGTGACAACACTAGTGCTATTCAAATTGCAGTCAATCCTGTGTATCATGAACGCACCAAACATATTGAAGTGGATTGTCACTATATTCGGGATGCCTATGATTCCAAGGTCATCGCTCTTCCCCATGTTTCCACTTCTCAACAAGTCGTAGATATTTTCACCAAATCTCTAACACGCCATCGTCATAACTATCTCGTTAGCAAATTGATGCTTGTTGACTCCCCAACATCAATTTGAGGGGGGGGGGTATTAGCGTGTATTATTAGAAAATTAGAGATTATTTACTTACTGAAATTTAGGTAGTTTTCTTGTACATAATAGCTAGTTTCCATGTATACTTTGTATCCTAAAAGAACTTGTAACTTCTATAAAGAAAAACGAAGACACACAAGAAATTCATTCAGCAAAAATATTGTCAGACGAAAGATCGTGCCTTGTGCCGAATGCCATCCATTGATCCTTCGAGCTTCTAAACTCTTGACTAGAGCATTGAAGCAAGTGTCCTGCTTGATGTCTGGTTGAAATTAAATTCGATTTTCTATGTTATCACGATCAATGATAACTAGTGATTCTGATTTTAACATTATGACTAGAAGAGCCTCTCTATCATTATCATTTTTGAAGACAACAAAAAGAATTTTAACTATATAATAAGATTGCTAACATTCAAAATTTTTCTGTAGATTTCTAGTAAAATGGTGTAACACTTACCACTTATACGAAATAAGAGGCCTATAAAATTTTAAATGGTCGAAGCTAATAAGAGTTTATAATTATTCAAACAAAAAGAAAAATCAAGCATCTTTCTAGTTTCTACTAATAGATCCCTCTACTCAACTCACTTTATACATGTACCCAATTAAGGGAAAAAAACTAAATTACGGTCTCGTTTGGTAGGGATTTTTATCCCAAAAAATTGATTTTTTGACCGTTATTTTACTATTCAAGTCGTAATTTTTGACTTTTTCTCTCACATATGGACCCCACTTTTCTTCTAAGTGGTCAAAAAATCAATTCTCAAAATCCCAACCAAACGTGGCCTACATTTTCTTTCAAAGAGAAGACCATCAGCCCGTATCTTTCGCATCCATGTTACAGAAAAATTTTCTTCCGAGTGAAGCCAAAAGCCACTGCTCACTGCCTCACGCATTCCATATTTTACTGCTTATTTTAATGTTAGATGTATTCTTCTTGACTCAAAATCACTTATTTTCCCCAAAATCACTTTAATGTGCCCCCGATGACCCCTCTATTTTTACGCCGAATGGCAGATTACACCGCCTCTTCTCCCCTTTGTATTTCTCCACTTGCCACATTCTGCTCCCTCTCTCTACTTACTTTATCTCTCTACTGTAACTTGCCAACTAGCTTTGACATTTTTTTACCCAGACTCTTTTAATAACCCCACATTCTCTCTCATTTTTATTCTTCTACTCGCTGTTGTTGAGTTTTTCTCTTTGCATGTCATTTTGATCGTTTCAACTTATTTTGATTAAAGAAAGCAGTTTTTTTTTCCCCTTCACCATCAATGGAGTGAATCCTTTTTTAAGAAGAGATAAGTTTAAGAGAAATGGCACCAGAAAATAACTGGCTATCATTTTCCTTGTCTTCAATGGAAATGCTTCAATCTACAATGAATGCTTCGTCGTCTGTGGATTCTCACAATTATTATTCATTTGCCGATAATTTCTATGCCAATGGTAAATATGTGTATATATCAGCTTTTTTGGAGGTTTTTGAAGCTTTGAATCAAATATTGCATAAAAAAAACCTCCATGATTCCGTTTGAATGCTGAGGAAATCAAGTTTGAAAAAGTCGAAAAGGACAAGAAAATGCACTCGTGTTCTACCATTTCCGTTACTGCAAAATTTTTTCTTCGATTCAGTTCCTAAATTTGACATTTTCTATTCAAATACTTCACATTATCATATATTTTTGTTTGTAGATTTACACCCGTCTTTTGGCTTTGTAGGGTGGGCTAACACAAAACCTCAAGTCATGTACACAGAGGCTGAAAATCATCCAGAAAAAGAGAACAACTTGATTTTCACAAGCTATATGGACTCAGAATTGCACCAAAACATGCAGCCACCGCCTAAACTGGAGGATTTCTTCGGCGGCGAGTCGACGGAGACGCAAGACTCGTCTTCCCTAACTCATATCTACGACCACCCCCAGACCAACGGCGGCGGCGTGGCCTACTTCAACAGAAGTGAACAGCAAGATCCCAAGACGATCACTCGGTTTCAAGCCTTTTCTGCAAACTCGGGCTCCGAGGTGGATGACTCGGCGTTTGTGGGCCACACTCAGTCACCCGTTGAGTCGGGAAGCGAGTTGGTGGCTTACCCTCAGGCTGCGATAACTGGTTCTAATACTACTACTCATGCTTTGTCCCTTGGCGTGAATAACAATGTTCAGTGCACCGAGAATAACAACGTTAAGGCTATTGTTTCTGTTCAATCTGCCGAAGGTTGTAAAAAAATTGCTGACACTTTTGGTCAGAGAACTTCCATCTACAGAGGCGTCACCAGGTAACCATTTTCCTCTATTTAACTTAGGAAAAAATTGAAATTTAATTCGATAAAAACTGGGTTTTATTCTTTGAGGCCTTGAGGCTGCACGATGCTTGAAAAACTGCAAGTGCATGACACTTATTTTCGATATTTTAACCTTGTGAATTTGGGTTTTATGCAGACACAGATGGACAGGAAGATATGAAGCGCATCTATGGGATAACAGTTGCAGAAGGGAGGGACAAGCAAGAAAAGGGCGTCAAGGTATATATATATTTTTTATTTAATGTATTTGAATATTAAATTTATAAGAACTGAAAAAAAAAGGAAAAGAAAAGAAAGGACATTGAATTTGCATGGCATGCATTGAAGAGGGGAATCAGGTGATAAAAGGACACTCTGAAGGATGCAATTTGTTTCTTTCAATCAGACTTTATGATGATTGATTGACTGAAATGTTTACAAATTTGTACTGGATTATCTTGTTTTGTTTGATTCAAGCTTTCATTGATTTGATCAGAAGCACCGCCATTTTGGTCATGTTTAGGTGGGGGTTGGAGAGAGGGGGGGTTGTTCTACCAGATATTCTTTACCCTCTATTGTTATAGCTGGTAAGGCTCTTGGTATGCTTGACTCGATAGTATAAAAAACGAAGCTAAATTCTATGTGTTGGTGTTCAGTATTATCTACCAAATATTCTTTACCGTCACTTGTCATAGCGTCTAATAACGAGCCCAAATGGTATGCTCAACTTGACAATACTGAAAAATTAAGTTAAAATTTATGTAGCGTTCTTTGTATTTTGTATCGAAGATGCTGTTTGGTTACATAGTTGAGCAAGCCAGTCAGGACAATTGCCTGAAACTCTTGACTTTTATCAGATTGCTTTTAGCTTTTGCTTTTTTAATATTCCTGGGCCAAAAGACTCAATGGATTTGACCAAGGACCAATCCCCATATGAAATTTGAATATATTGCCTCCTTATTTTGTGGATTTATCTCACTTTTGATTTTTCTGTAATTGTAAGTTCAGAGTAAATAATTTGCTAAGAAAATGTGATAATATTTTGCAATGTAGGGTGGTCATTGGTGTTATGTTATGGATATGTGTTCTTGATAAGTTTGCTTCGAAGTATAATCTGTTTGCTCGATTGCACCCGTGTTTTTAAACTTCTGTTAATGGAATTTTTATGTACACTTCAGCTTTTTGAACTGTTTGAATTTGCATATTGAACACGAGAAGGCTAGAAAGTCGATATCAAAAAAAATTGGACAAGTTACATGAAAGGGTTATATTTTTTGAGAGAATATCAAAACAATTTATAGTAGGTTGGTCAATATGAACACACTAGGGTCCATCTTCATCTTCCATCATAGAATCATAACAGACTGAATTTTTTACTCCTTTCTTTTACTATGTTTAGATGCTGTTAATTTACAGAACTTACGTTTTCTTGGATGGTGTTCTAATATTTGTATATTTGCGTGAAATGGGACTGGATGTTTCTCACGATGTGGAACTGTGGTCTGCAGTGTACTTGGGTGAGTAATTTTAGCTTTTCACCTATGTTTTATATGCATATTTTTAATGCTTTAGTTCTCGTGATTATTTATCATGAAATCTTTGATATATAGGTGGGTATGACAAGGAAGAAAAGGCTGCAAGGGCTTATGATTTGGCAGCTCTTAAGTACTGGGGTCCGACTGCCACTACCAACTTTCCGGTAATAACTATGTTATTATACTATTTTTATTCTTTATATTGTCGAATGCCATCCAATCCATTAACGAACATTCCATAAAGAAATCTAACTCGACAATGTCCCCTACCAACTTTCCGGTAATAACTGTTTATTATATTATTTTCTTCTTTATACTGTCGAATGCCATCCAATCCATTAACAAACATTCCATGAAGAAATCTAACTCGACAATGTCCCCTTTCAGATCTCGAATTATACCAAAGAGCTTGAGGAGATGAAGCATGCAACAAAACAAGAATTCATTGCATCGCTGAGAAGGTTTGCATACTTCATCCATTCTTGAATTTGTTTGATGAATGATGTCAAATTCTGTGACTCACTGTCCAAATTAGCATTAACTCGAAACTTTCTTCAACGTCTTCAGGAAAAGTAGTGGTTTCTCAAGGGGTGCATCGATTTATAGGGGTGTTACAAGGTCTGAGCTCTCATCATATAACAATTTTACATTTATCTTTTTTTCTTTCTTTATAACAATGTTTATAAAACTTGTGCTTTTGTGCTAACCAGTCGTGAATTTTGGCAGGCATCATCAACAAGGTCGATGGCAAGCAAGGATTGGTCGTGTTGCTGGGAATAAAGATCTGTACCTCGGAACATTTGGTATAATATCATTTCCTCGAATATTTGAAATTATCAATTTTATTGTTTCCTTTGAAATAGTTACTAGTGTTATGTTATTTTGACAGCTACTGAGGAGGAAGCGGCAGAGGCATACGACATTGCTGCAATAAAGTTTCGGGGATTGAACGCAGTGACAAATTTTGAGATGAGTCGATATGATGTTGAAGCCATTGCCAACAGTTCTCTTCCTATCGGTGGAACCGCAAAGCGCTTGAAACTGTCTCTCGAAGCTGAAGAGAAACCACCGATGAGCCTCCCGTGCAGCAGCAGCATTAATTTCGGAGCCGTTCAACCAGTGTCAGTGTCGACTATCCCGTATGGCCTGCCTTATGATACGACGGCCCCATTCTATCATCATCATCATCTCTTTCAGCACCTTCAGGCGAGCAATGCAGGAGCCTCGGCTGATACTTCCATGGTAACTCCGATGCCTTTGATGCCATCACCACCACCACCAGCCGAGTTTTTCATCTGGCCTCACCAGTCGTATTAACGCCGAAATTACTCTTCATGTTCAACTTATGTTAACTGGTAGCTGTCATTTGTTGTATTCGTCTTAAACTGACCTTTCGTCTGACTCCATATAAGGTTTAGGATTAGTTTAATGCTTGGCTCATATGAATACAGAGAAGTTTTTGGTAGGTATAATATGGAATGATGTAAGCAAGCTTCTCTCTAGTAGCTTATGAATTATGCGGGGAAGCTCTTTTAATGGAAAAATTTTCAACAGGTTTTCCATTTTAAGAAGTCGTCCCTGTAATCAAGCATTTTAATTTGCTGAATTAACATATTAAATCATAATTAAGAAATCCCAAATATTCCAAAAATGGCTTTTTCTGTCTGCTTATAGTATTATTAGTTTGCAATCACCAAGCCTAAACTCACCGGGGAAGTAAAAGTAGGATGTGGTGCATGTTCTTCATACCTTGGATCTGGGAATAAATTAGCCCACCGTCTTACTTCAAATTTTTCGAAGTTATTTCATATGCGCATCAAATTGTGATACATATTCGTTGAAAATCGTGTGGCTGATGGGGTGCTTAACTCGCTAGTGATAGAAAAATGATTGATGGCTGAAAATTTCGCTTGGAGATTGCTACTATAGCTAGAGTAGTAGTAATTGAAAATGGCGCGAAGAAAAAAAAAAAAAAAGTAGAGGAAGAATTAAAGGTCTGTTTGATTACAAATATAGAATTTGGGTGGAAATAAAATGAATTTCATAAAATTGAATTGCCTAGAAATTGTTTTATTAGGAATTGTCAATTGATAGTGTTCGATTGGTATAATTTTTCAGGTGCAAAATGTTGAAATAAAAGTGTTTTTTGGTTTTCGTTTGACTTTGTTTTTCATGAAAATTGTCAATTTAAGGAATATCCACTTCTACCATTGTTCTTAGAATTTATTTTCATTGCCAACAAAAAAAAAAAAAATCCAAAAATCATCTATATTTTGGTGTTCGTTTGACTTTGTTTTACATGAAAATTGTCAATTTAAAGGCTATCATCTTTTACAATTGTTCCTAAAATTTGTTTACATTGCCAACAATTAAAAAAAAAAAGAAAAAAAAAGGTGGAATTCCAAAAACCACCTACCCCATGGGAAAATAAAAGGTGAAATTTCATGCTTTACCGGCTTGTACTTATAAAATCATGGAAAATCAATTCTTTGAAAAATTTTGTTAATCAAATAGGCCAAAAGTGGAAGTTGAAATTCGAATTCCAAATTTCATGGAAAATAGTATAATCAAACAGGGCCTAAGAGAAGAAATGACATTATTGAGCCACCAAAAGTTAGGTTAAAACAATGAAAAAATAAAATCAGTTTATATATTACAAGGAAACCTAATATAATAAAACAAATATGTATTATTGTATACGTTATCATCCCCCTCAAACACACGATGCTAAAGTAAGAAACGAGAGTTTGTTATGCAAGAAACGAAAACGATGAATAGGATGGGACTTAGTGAAGAAATCAGCAAGATGTGACAATGAAGAAACGAAAGGTAGGGAAATGGTGTCAGTTTGTAGATGATGACGAACCAGATAACAATCGATCTCAAATGGTTCGTCCCCTCATGGAACACAAAATTGTGAGAGATCTAAATAGCATTTGTATTATCACAGTAAATAAGGGTTGGGGAATAATGAGGAACAACCATGTTTATAAGTAACCATCGTAACTACACAATTTCAGTGGTAGTGGATGTCATAACTCGATACTCAGCTTCAGTAGAGGAAAGGGAAACAACAATTTGTTTGTTAGTTTTCCCAAAGATAAGAGAATTACCCAAAATATACAAAAATCAGTAATGGACTTGCAATTAGTTGGGTTACTGGCCCATTAGCATCAGAATAGACACGGAGCACTAAAGAGGAGATCGATGAAAATAAGATACTTTGAAAGTAAGTACCACGAAGATAGCACAAAATACGAGCAACAACTGCCCAATGAACTGTAGTAGGAGCTAAAACAAATCGATCAACAATGTGAACAGCATAATCAATATCGAGATGTATGATGGTAGGAAAAACCAAACAGCCAACAATGGTGCGGTATAAAATGGGATCAGTCAAGGGTACATCATCAGAAAGCGAATATTGAGCGTTGGACTCAAGAGGGGATCAACAAACTTAGTATTCGTAAGATGAGCATGTTCAATAACATCCATAGTATACTTGGATTGGGAGAGAATATAACCTCTAGGAGAAAAAACAACTTCTATTCCTAAAAAATAAGATAATGTACCTAAGTCCTTCATTTCAAAACGAGAAACCAATTCTGATTTCAAATATGCAATCCCATCAACATCATCACTAGTAATAATCACATTGTCAACATACAGTAAAATGATGATGCAACTAGTTGAAGTGCATCTAAAGAAAATGTAGAGTCATGAGGACTGGATGTAAAACCAAGAGAAGTAATAATAGTGAAAAATTTCTCAAATCAAGCACGAAATGCTTGTTTGAGGCCATAAAATGCCTTGTTGACCTTGCAAACAAATCTTAGAGAGTGAAAAAGACTAAGAGAAGGAACCATGTAAACCTCCTCTTGAAGATTTCCATTCGAAAAGGCATTTTTGACATCCAATTGAGAGAAACTCCACTAATAAACAGATGCAACTACAATAAGTGTACGGACATTGGTCATCTTGACAACAGGAACAAAAGTCTCCTCATAATCTAAACCATACTATTAATTAAAACCTTTCGCAACTAATCTAGCTTTGTAACGCTCAACTGAACCATCAGATTTGGTTTAATTTTATAAATCCAATGAAAACCAATATCATATTTACCTAAAGTCAATGCAAACAAGTCCTAAGTATCTATTTTATGCAAAGCCATGATTTATCAGCCATAGTCTGTTGTCAAAGAGGATCCATAATAACTTCTTTATAAGACGCTGGTTCAAATAACTTGTAAATGGAGGTTAGAAAGAAGCAGAAGGACTCAGAATAACAAAAATAAGCAAAATCGGGTAATTGAATAGACTTACGAATACGTTGAGAATATCAAGGAAGAGAGGGAGAAAGAGCTTAATCAATAATTTTAGGCGGTGCTTGGGAAGCCCTAGAAGGAGGACTGATATTATGAGTTGGCGCATGTGTACCTGCAGAACACGAAGAATCAACAGTACATGGGGTATGGAAATGTGGAAAATTAATATCATCAAAGAATGGATCAATACGAATGATGTCAGTTTTAGTCACGTCATGAGTGTTATAAAAAATAGAGAAGAATGAAATATGATCAAGAAACACGATATGAAGAGAAACAAATAATTTATTATTAATGGAATCAGAACAACGATAACATTTTTGTCCTTACCCATAAGCCAAGAAAACATAGATAGCATAGTAAGATGTCAACTTACTACGTTCAACTTCTAGACGAAGAATAAAGCAAGTACAACTAAAGATTCTCAATGAGGAATAATTCGAGAATGCCCATAAATGTTTTAAAGGGTAATAAACCTGAATTGTGGGAAGATGGTATCGTATTAAGCCTTTGTTTGAGTCTCATTCTTCTAAAAATTCATTTTTTCAAAATTTATTTTCAACCTACATTCTTCAGTAAAGAAAATTATACGTAAACCCAAAATTTTTCCTTAATTTTTAACCACACATTTTTCGTCAATCTATTATTCAAAATGCGTTCTTTCCCCCGAAATAGGGCTCATACGAGGGCTAAATAAAGAAACATCAGTAAGAACTGCTTCCCCCCGAAATTCACCAAGAGCTTCAGCTAACAAAGGAAGTGAACGAGCAGTTTCTACAATTTGTCTATGCTTTCGTTTAACAACACCATTTTGTTGTGGAGATTTAGCACACGAGGTTTGATGAATTGTACCATCAAGAGCAAACAAATTAGAGAAATCAGTCGAAGTGTACTCTCCACCCAAGTTATATCTAAAGCACTTAATTACGGTGGAATGTTGAGTTTTAATAAGTGCTATGAAAGATCGATAAATATAAAGAAAGTCAGATCATCGTTTCATGAGATAAACCCAACAATAATGATCATAATCATCTATAAATGACATATAATATCGAAACCCTCAATTTATAACAATAAAAGCAGGTCCCCATACAACAGAATGAACAAAATCAAATGATGCAACATAATGAGAAATACTTCGAGGAAAAGGTAAATCAAAAACTTTGCTAATTCACAACCAATACAATCATAAATGTTAATGAGTTTGTATATTTCCCAATTGACCTTTAGAATCTAAAAATTTCAAACGACTAGAGATAACATATCCAAGGCGAGAATGCCACAAATAAAAACTAGAAGACAATAAATTCAAAGAGAAATATGACAAATCAACATTAGAGGTTGCAACATGTGGTGGTCTTAGATTTTCCAGAACATAAAACCCTCCTTATCTACGGTCTATCCCAATTAGGTTCTAAGATTGAAGATCTTACACATGAAAAGCAGTAGAAGAAAACTAAATTGAGTATCCAGAATCGCACAATTAGGTAATCGAGATAAGATTCAAAGTAAGAGTTGGAACATAATAAACATCTAAAAGTGATAAATTATATAATTAATAGAACAAACACCTGCTAAAGGTAATGGTGTATCGTCAACAGTCATAACAGACATAGATGGGTTAAAAAGATACAAGTCATTAGAGATTTCTGAGTTAGACAATATATGTGTGGAAGCACTTGAGTCAAAGATCCATGAGGAAGAAATACCTGAATGACTTATGACAAACCTATATAAGTGGAGGCTGACATAGTACGTAGCTATGTGGCTAAAAACTTCTGAAACCGCTCTGCTAAATTCGTTAACATGGGACTGAAGGAAGGTGGTGCTCCAAGTATAGATGAGTAATTAGGTGGCATGGTGGTAGCTATGTTAGCATTGGGACGATAGGCTCGTTGCTGTGATTGAGGCTACTATTTCTTTAATAGTTTAGGACATTAAGATTTTCAATGTTCTTTTTGTTTGCAAAAGTTAAACTCATCACTAGCAACTCGTACATAACCTTTGTTTTGATTTTGTGTGGACAGTCGAGAGAGTACAGCCAACACTGAGGTGCTAGATGGAGGAAGAAATACTTCTCCTGCATGAAAATTCAAGCGTATTTCATCGGTTATAAGTTCACTAACCACCAGATCAAATAAGGGAAGTGGAGTGTAATGCAATATAGAGCCTCTAAGTCCCTCAAAATCACTACAAAGTGCTATAAAAACTGAACTAATCGCTGCTCCTCTCTAAAAGTAATATATTTCTCACATACTTTTAGTCCTGTCGATTCCTTAAGAGCCAACTCATCCCAAATTGAATTCTAGTTGCGTAAAACTCAAGAATACTCATATCCTTTTGACGTAAAGCCCGTTTATCAATCTCCAGCTAATACCATTTTGCAAAGTTAGACTTAGTGTATAATTTCTGAAAGTGTTCCCAAGCTTCATTTGTTTTCTCAAACTTCGCCGACTGTGTACCAATGGATTGTTCAACAAAATTGTGAATCCAAGTGATAATTTTCGCTTTATTTGACTCCCAATTCTCCAACTATGTTACATAATTCTGAGCGGTGTTCTCGGGTTTCACAATAGTTCTAATAACATAATCCCATAATCTTTTTCCTTTTAGAAAATTTCTCATCACGGTACTCTAATATAAGTAATTTTTACCATTTAATCTAACATTAATAGATTGAAGTGAATCATCTCTTTCAGTTGCCATCATGAATTAAACAAATAAACTACTACCAGTTAAAAGAAATCACTAAATTCCAAGAAAAACAATGACAACTCACCACCATGAGCTATCGCTAGAATATATCACGAAGTACAAGTACAATCAAAATAATATCACCAAACAATCACAACCTTACCAATGAACCCACTTGTGTTGAGGCTGCCTATTTTGAGAAGAGAAAGTGATGAGAAGTTGCCAACAATTTGAACAATCAAAAAGCAGAATTTGAACCACTGTCCATTTTTAAAACACAAAGCAGACACAATTTATCATTCAATCCAACCACAAACAGTCCAATTCTATGTTCACGAAAACAAATATTTCGGAGCACCGTTTTCAATTTGCACTAAATAGAATCAACTTCAATGCATAGATTTTGGCTATGATACCATGAAAATAACACGAACTTATTTGATAAAACAATCAACGGAGAAGAAGAAGACATTATTGAGCCACCAAAAATTAGGTTAAACAATGAAACAAATCAGTTTATATATTATAAGGAAACCTAATATAATAAAATAAATATATATTATCAGTTTTTATCCACCATTTTGTTCGAGGCCTTCTTTTATCTGCCAATGTTAATCCAGCAGATTGAAACCTCCATTAGATTCGACAACTAAGGATGAGACTACCGTTGCATTGACTTTGAAGTCCCAAATCTTATATCTAAAAATTTCGTCTTGACCGGGCTCTTCACTGAAGAACTTTTACCCGTTTCATATATGTTCTTGTTATGAAGTTTTCTTTCTAGTGTATTTGCTCTTGTGGTGCCAATGGCTATGAAAAACTTGGGCTTGCAAGTATTAAGGTGAAATTACTTGTCCTCTTTAAAGGAGGATTTTTATCAAGTCATGGCAAAGCAGCATACCCGTTTAAGCACTCACAACTTGAACATTGTCGTCTTTTGGATAATTTAATCATGAAAGATCATATACATGCACTGGTAAAATTGATGAACAATCCATTTTGAGTTTTAAGACCAAAAATGTCAGATATCATAGGCTTTATGTTCTACCATATGAACATAAAAACAACTACTTTAATAGAATTTTTTTAGCTCAACAAAAAGGTAAAAAGAAAAAGAATCTGTATCGTGAATGATCAAGGGTAATATTCAAGACCTTTCAGGTAATCGAACAGTCGCGGCTCTTATGGTCTTCACATTGTTAATCTTTGAAGGATTCAACATAAAGATCGTCTAATCGAAGCAATGCAACTGCGTCTACATAAATGGTGTATAATTTATGTTCCGCTAATCAAAATTAGGAGCATGAAAATAAGATATAATCGTGACTTATACTTGTAAAATCTAATAGAATTTTAACTTATTGAAACTAAATTGACTAAACCAATTTTGACTTACTAAAATGTAGAAATAAGAAGTAGATAAAATGAAGCGAGATATGCGAATGTAAATCTCCTTAAGATAGAATTTGCCCTTCAGGCTAACATGATCAAATGGATGTCCGTCTTTCAAGATATAATGCATCTTCCAAAATTAATATAGCACAATATTAATTTTGTCGGATGAACTAACTCTTGACTGTACTCTTCTGGAACGAAAGGTATCGAATGTTAAATATCGAATATGAAAGTTGAAACTCAAAAATAATTTGAAAATTACCTTTGATATAATTTGGAGAAAGAATGAATTACTGGAGTGAAAAAAAAAATGAAAATGTCCTATTTTATAGATTTTCATGTTTTTCTTTGAATGTTCGCATCTTTTGACAGAAATTAATTTTAACCATTAGATCACACAATTTTAAATTTATCATATTGATAGCACCTTATCAAAAGGCCACTATTCATTTCGACATGACTATTTAATATGCACCCTTTACAATTGAAGAGTCGTGTCTAGTAATCACATCCATGAAAAACTTTTCCAATTCATGCATCTAAATCGTGGGTATTAACTTATTAATTCCAACGTCAACAACATCAAAGCCGAACATAAAGGAATGAACAAAGTTGGTGCACTTGTTGAGGTTAGTGATGTTAGGCGTGTCGTATCGGGTCTTCAATTTGACACGGTAGGCTTTGAGGTTCATCCGAAAGTCAGTTTTCACGTGGTCGTAAATTAGGATATCGATTTCCATTCATGATTTCTTTAATGGAGTGCAATGGGGAGGCGGGATCGGAATTTTGCGGAATTGAACTTGTCCGTCGGTGATTTCATAAGCTTTTAATGACTAGAAATATGGCTGGTTTTGTGATTGTCGAGTCCCGAGGCGACGTCCATAAATTAGGCCCTCCAAAATTAACATAAATGCAAAATTCGATGTTGTATTATCTAACCTATTGTAATTTAAAACTTAAAATTCTGAAGTTCATATTTGTTAAGGACTCGGCTTCACTCTTATTTGTGCAATTAGCTCTAAGCAACCAAGGCGAATAC